TCTAGTGGCTTTCTACTTTAACCGTCCGTTGGGATTAGTGATGATATTCCTGTTTTATTTTGAAAGATTAGAACAATGTAGAAGACAATAACTCGAGGTTACCTTGGGGATCCATCATTGCTTCTATCTAACAAGTTGGGTTGATGCAAATTGTTAAAAGTATAGTCACCAACCACTACCAAGATGCCCAGTTGATAGTAACCAGACGCTGTTGCTTGAAACCAACCTAGCTCAATTTTAACTCCATGGAATTCAAGCTGTGGATTTCCATGACTAGCCATCCAATCCATAACAGGCACCAATGCAGAACGAATGGATCCATGCCTCACAGTCCTCAACTGAGCATTCAAACCAGCTACCAAACGATTCCAAACAGTTGGTGGTATGTGGGGATAGCATATTTCTTGAAATCAGATGAATATTATATAAAATAAAGTTATGATAAAGCTACTGAAAATTAAAAAGACAACCAAGACACCTGGCCAAGAAGATTAGTCAACAATGTATCACTATGAAGATTGTATGGTGACATATAGCTTCCATCCCCACCAAAAAGTATGCACATTGGGAACCGCTTTTGTATGATTGATACCATGTCTACGCGCTTCTCATCACCACCAAGGAAAAAATCAATGTATGCAACCATCAAATCAGGTGTTGCTCCTACCTGCATAAATTAGGTAACCATTTAGAGACATGAAAAAGAAGGGGAATATGGACATGAAAAATAATGTTAATTGTGATCGACATAGTTGACTTAGTTTTCAACAACTACCAGACTTTTGTAATTTAAATTCTTTCTTATCTTCACCTTTTGAGTTTAAAGTTATTGTTAGCTATTTGATTGTCACTGTGATCTTTTATGATTGTTGGTTGAGGTGTAACTCTATATAAACACCTCCATGTTTCATTCAATAACACAATTCAGATTCACTCCTTACTTTCAATGCTTTAAATATAACTATGCATATAAGCCAAGGAATGCATGGATATGTTTGAATTCCATTGATGAATTAGAATAAAGGATAATTTCACTTGGTAAACATCTCATGATAGTTCAATCTTGATGATATAGAACCCAGCATTATCTTGGAAGATGTAAACACCATCAAGATATTAATGAAACATGGTATTTAATTTAAGAAAACATATTCTCAAACTAACATTAAGCAAATAGTTCTTAGCAGATAAAGCATAGCACTCAAGAAATAAGATGACTCCAAAAGGGAAAAATGTGAGAACTAAAACCTTCATCCCCTTGTATAGAGCTCGTGATCTGCAAGAGCGGAGACATGAATGGTCATATTCTGATTTGACATACTCCTGAAGCCGATGAACTTTTTTCCTCCGCCGCCACTGTTTCCAGGACCAGGCACAAGGGTATGCCACCATTGAAAGTATACTGTGCACTGACCCTTCCCACCAATCATATGCAGCAACTGAGTTGATCTCATCAATAAATCTGTTAAAAGCATCTTCATACCTACATGCCAATGGGTTTGTGATTATGAATACTATTTCAGATAAAATGGAAAATTTAAATTTTAACATACAAAAAGGGGGCTTTAAATAAATAATTTGTTCTAAGACAATTACCTACTGTTCAAGATACTCAAAGCATCTCTATAAATTTACTCAAAAAAATTAATCTCTATAATTGGCAAGCTTCAATATGAGGTGTGTCTTGCATCAATAGCCAGTGAAACAGGGTGATACTAACAAAATGGCTGCTATTCTCATGAATTTTTCTTGTTAAGGGTGCTTAGCATTCTACCATTCGCAAGTTATGAATATGTTGGTTTACTATACTAGGAACAAAACAAATTGGGCATAAAATGAAATCAACCCCCCCCCCCCTTTTGGGGTAAGAGATTTGCATTCAGCTGCAATCCAAGAACATTCCTACTTCCATGAATTCATCTAGAGAAGGATTGTGCTAGATTAGCACACACACCAAAAAAATAGAGTCATCACTTCATCCCTTGTTAAATAATTTGCTTACACGATCTCAATGATTGTATCAGGAGGAGAGTAAGGAAGGTTCCATGGTTCTCTAAAAATATTTGGCCCCATGAAGTACATTCTGTAAACGTGACTTTGAGTTTCTTCTACTCTGGTTCCCCGTACCTGTAAGATATATATAGTCCACACAGAAACGTTACAAAATATGAAACTGGACCCAACCACTGCTGCTTACATTTAAGCCGTGAAAATAAAATATGGCTTTCAAAAATATACCTCTGATAGAGAAAGAAGGTATGGGAAACGATGACTACTTTGATGTTCAATATTAGCAACATATGAGCTTGAGTCGACCAATTTAATTCTTAAAGTGCTTAACAATACAGCTAGAAGCACCAAAATTCCAGACAGAAGAAGTGCAAAAGGCCAAGGACCTCCAAATGTATACATCAACTCCTCAAGAGGGGTGTAGCAATTTGGCATTCTATACTTGTCAGATATACACTTGTAGGGGCAAGATGGCTGACATACTCCTCCTGGAAAAATAAACACCCTGAAGTGAGAAAGGAAAGTGTATGGATATAAGAGAGATTTGACGTTAAAGGAAAAAGGCATGGAAAAATGACCAACACACATTAGAATAAAATGTAAATCGCTGTTAACTAGTACCTCGTACATGTATGAAATTTGCACGATTTGGAAGAAGCTCCAGAGGGCAAGGAATGCAAAGTTCTTCATCAGAGCCATCAACATCTTTATAAGTGCCAATAGGGCATTCCTGTGAATGAATTCCATTATACTTTTAAAAAGAAGCAAATTAGTTGAGATCTCAAAGATTATCATAACAGCTAAGATGATTTATAAAACAGATAAAAAAAAGTCTAGACCTAAAAGAGAGAGACGATAGTTTTGTATCTATGTGAATGTCAGTTGAAAAGTGAGAAGAAACAAATTGTTCATACCCATATGTGAATAAACAACTTAGGATATCTGTATATGCATAAACTAGCCAATTAAAAAGGCAAGCCAAGTCCCTAATTGCCTAATGGTGAATAATTTCTCATTATAAGATAGATGTAGACTGAGTAGCATAAGAAAGATCAGATTATAGTGTGGGAAGTAACTTTTGGTCACATAGCACTCTAGTAAGTCAAGATTAGGTGCTTAAGCTTGGATGGAAGGTGCTGCAAGCATATTAAGATTTTATTAACTTTATAGGAATTTGTCTAATAGTGAAAATTGCAACAATAATCTCCATGTATCCCTGTAACATGAATGTGATGCACAATATCATAAAGTCATTGGTACACCATAAAACATATTGAAATACAAGTTTGAAGGCAATTAATAGCAATTTTAAAAATTAAGTGAAATTTACCCTGCAGAATGTACCATAGAGCCCTTTTGGACATTTTTTCCCAGTTACCGTGCCCTCGTTCCCATAGAGCCCACCATTATGCCCAGCACCTCCACTGTCACTCAACATGTTTGAATTAGTAACCTGCAGTGCAACCTTTTTTCTGGATGTGTGTGTGGAAAGGCTTATATTTCAATTTTCTAATAGTTCTTAAATTGATAGACAGTATAAAACATGTGTGTGTAACATGATCACATAACCTTTTTCCTTAAATCAGATATTAAATAATAAATAGCATAATGCAATTTGCCAAATTCAGGAGTCTTAAAATGTTTGTGACATGATCAGTCCATAAAAAGGTTATGTGATCAAAAGATCAGTTAGTTGAATTTAAGAGCCCTACCTACTATTGATGAAACCACTGATAGTAGCAACTGGAACATATTCATCCTCAATGCCTATCTTAGACCAGTGAAAATGCACTCTTCCACCACCACCACCACCACCACCACGAGGACCACCATTTCCCCCATTAGTTGATAAAGATGAATTTTCCGCAAGCATAAGCTCTTGTAGGAATAGAAGAACTGTCCCACCAGAACCTCCACCAAGTCCACCAATCAATGATCCATTACCATTTATTGTTGCTTGACCAAAGCTTTGACCATCAGCCCTCAAAGAGCCATATATGCTAAGCCTTAGGAGAGGCCATTGGGTTGAGCCAATTACTAGCCAAGAGGCAACCATAAGTCGGTAAAAACAATCAATTTACAATGTCAGATAACATTAAAAAAAGGGGGTCAAAACAGTCGGGAAATTTTTAACATATTTGCTAATTGCTAGTACTCTTGAAGATTAGTAGCTCCCATCACGCGTTAAATACTTAAACTAATCATAAAGAATGTTTTGGAAATTATGAACTGAAAACTCACCAATCATTCCTCCGCCAACCACATGTCCGAATGACTGAGTAGGACCTTCTGTTCCACTGCCCAACTCACAAGGAAAATCAGCATTCCCATACCGATAACCACCACTGCTAATTCTTCCATTGAAATATCCAGAACCCCCTCGTCCACCATGCCCAGCACCACTACCAGCTCCATTAAGATAGTTTCCTCTTCCTATACCTGTGCTGCAACCTAAAAATGGGTCTCCACAAATTAGAAGTCTTAAACAAAAGCATGAATCATACTTCTTCGAAATTAAAAGATTACTAGGAAACCATTGTGGAGTAGAAAGATGAAAAGGGGGAAATGCAAATTACAACAATGGATCAAATATCAACAAATGCACCCTCTTACCTAATTCAGATGCAGTAAGCAGGCCATTAGCATCTATGGTGACTGTCCTTGCCCTATGAATGTGGACAATACTTCCCTTGATGACCCCATCAACGAGAAGGTCCTCAACCCGACAAATCTACAAATGGGTCAAATAAAAGCGGTTAGAAATTGAACCATGCCACATGCATAACAGCATCCTAATTCTATAGAACAAACCAGGAAGAAATCATTTAAAGCAAATAAAGCAATATGCTGTGCATGTTTTTTTCTTTTCCAATTCCAATGTACGAGAACAGTCATACTCAAGAAAGAAAGTTTTTACTTTCTAGATACACCTGGAAGGAATTTACAAGGTGGCACCTCTTTTTAGCTATAAATTTTAAATATTATAAAATCAGTTCAAGCTTTGTAACTAGAAGAACAGATGGAATATATAGGACCTATCATGCTTTAGCAAATGTTAGAGAAGTCATGACAATGCAGGATGCCAATACAGATTTCTATTCTTCTTGAACTCTGAGAATTTTCACTTATCCAAATAAATAATCATTCCTTTGCACATAGAAATGCTTGACCAGATGGAAGTTAGCATTCCAAGCACAGTTATCACGTTAAGCAAGACTTTTTAGTCCCCTCTTATTTTATGACATCAATTGATTCATGAAAGTAACCTCTTCAAAATATAATAGCATATAAGAAAAAAGACGCGAACATGTTAATTAGGCATCACCAAACCAAGTAGAATTCAAAAATGATTTTTACCTGTAGAGAAAAGGACAGTGTATAATTAACATGGCAATCATCTGGAGGGGTTATCAAATCTATTGGGCATGTTTGGCTCTCGCAAAGGGAATTTGTAACCCTACAACGAAGGAAACAAAGAATTTAAAAATGGAAGGAACTTCTGAAATTTAACTCTAACCATTAATGTTGTGCAAAATCTATTAAAAAGAAATTATCTTCATACACATTTCTGCTAGCGTCATCATCCAGTGGAGCCTGAAGTAAGGATCCTGGCCCAACCTGTAACATTCAAAGACTTGTTAATACAAGGTATCAATTGTCAAATGATATCTAGTTCAAGAGAAATAATTAGGTGTCAAAAAATAGAACAGTAATCTCCTCTGCAATATTTTAGCGGGAATATTGATCATTATATGGATTCTCACAAATCGTTACCTCAATTCCATTGTACAAGTTAAAGTTGTTATGCAAGGGGAAAATGTTTTTATAAGTAACTCCAATAGAACTAATCATATTCTACACTTTTTTTTATATAAGAATTGGAGGTCCCATTAAAACCCCCCCTTCATAATTGCCTGAAACCAAAAAGGTTACACAGCAAAAAGTGGAAGGGGAAAAAGAGTACCTTAAGTTATATTAATGGAGAGGTTATAAAGAACCCCAGGATTACAATCTACAAAATAGGACACAACACAAACATAACCAAAAAGAAACATGTTACAACCACACGCATTCCTAGAATTAACCAATCCCCTTTTAGCTAACTCATCCGCCTCCCAATTTGCACTTCTTTTAACAGCCTGAATAAGGATCTCCTTACTTCTAACCACATGAACAATTTCCTTAACTAAGGCTCCAAAGGACACACCGAAGGGTCCTTAATCCAGTCTACAATATTCCTACAATCACTCTCCAGAATCAGCCTGCCCTTGTCAACCCACATGGTCGAGGAAAAGAGATTTAGGCCTGCTCTTACAGCCTTTAATTCTGCCAAGACCGGGGGGCCGGGACCAATGGAATCCGAGAAGGAACCTAGAATTTGGCCTCGGAAGTCCCTAATTAATCCCCCAACACCACCCTTACTCCAATTGCAGTTCACAGAGCCATCCACATTCAACTTCAAAAAACCTTCAGGGGTGGGGACCAAAACGAAGAGGCCAAAGAAGATGGACGCCTCTTCCTATAGATATGGCTGGAATCAGCTACCGAAGGGTCACCAATCAGAGAGTCTAAATGGATCACAATCTCAGTGTACTTGGCTGAAAACCAGGAAGCAAGAAGAAATCTTGCAAGAAAGAATACGCAGGAAGAATATATAGTTCCATTCTCAAATACTACAGAATTTCTAAGTTTCCATATTGACCACACGACCGCTCCCGGGATGAAAGGTCAGATGCGTGAAAACCAAAAGACTGGGATATTTATTAAGGTTCTCATATGTATCAAGATAGGCTTCCTTCAAAGAATCTCAACCACAATAGAGAAGCTTACACAATTGACATACCTTTTATATCACCCGTGCATATCATAATATTACAATACCATGTGATTTCTGGAACCATATGTGCAGAACTTGCATAGATACACAGATAAGAATACTTGACGTGCACATTCACACTAATTACTGCACTGTCAAACTACATGCCTTTAATAGTAAAAAATACTCAAATTGAAGTCATCTTAATTATCTCATTCCTTCAATAAGAATAAAAAAGATTGGTTAAGTCAGTGTTGTGCTCGCTCCCTGTGTATTTTCTTTCCATTTTCAAGATTCCAGTTTCTGTGCTAAAGAAACTAAATTCTATCATGGCTTCATTTTTGTGGGGGGGGGGTGCAGCGGATAAAAAAAATATCCACTGGTTAAATTGGAGTTCGGTTAGTAAACCAAAAAGATTGGGGGGTCTAGGGGTCCCGAATTTATTACTCTTGAACAGAGCATTATTGGGGAAGTGGGTTTGGAAGTTTGCATCAGAGAAAGAGTCTTGGTGGAAGAGGGTGGTATGTGGTGTTTATGACATGGATCCGAAATGCATAATGATGGGGAATTCGTGGCCAGGCTGTGCATCATGGATTTGGAGAGGTGTGGTTAAAAATTTCTTTTCCGATGATGGTTTTGGGGATTGCATTAGGAGGAATATGCGTTTGAAGACAGGGAAGGGAATTATGTGCAGTTTTGGAACGATGTATGGTTGGGTGAAGTACCTTTGAAAATACAGTTTCCTAGACTCTATGTTCTTTAGAGTAATAAATCGGGTAAGGTGATGGAGTTCAGGGTGAATAATGGCGCTGGTTGGGTGTGGGACATTCAAATGAGGCGAAATTTGGCGATTGGGAGGTTGAACAGCTGTTGCAATTGATTTCTATGTTGAACAATATCTCAATATCGCCATGTGAGGAAGACTGTTGGATTTGGTCAGGGAATGGTGAGGGTTGTTTTTCAGCTAAATCTTGTATCAACATTTTCCTTGATCAAGATGGTATTCAGCAGAAGATGGAGACCTGGGAGAGACATATTTGGGCAGGGATTGCTCCTCCACGGGTGGAGACATTTGTCTGGCAAGTTGCTCACCAGAGAATGGCGGTGAAGGAGGAATTACTGAAGCGAGGTGTGATAGGGATTGATGATCCTTTATGCTCTTTGTGTGGTAGGGAAATGGAATCAGTTACGCATCTATTTTTGCATTGCGAGGTAGTATGGGGTCTGTGGGCCAGATTATTGAATATTTGGAATTTGTCCTTTGTGATTCCAAAGAATATCATGGACTTTTTCAATTTGTGGGATGATTTACTTCCGAATTCTTTGATATGGAAATTTATTCCAAGGGCGTTGATGTGGTCAGTGTGGAAATGCAGAAACGAGGTTATTTTTCAGAAAGTTAAGCTGGATGTGGTGAGACTGTTCTTTATTGTCTGTTTTAGAATAGCTTCCTGGTTTGTTGCAAAGTTCAAGGATGTGAATATACCTTTAGACTCTCTTGTGGGAGATTTAAAACTTGCGGATTTGGTGGGTAGACAAGGAAATGGCAACTCTAAACCAATTTGCTGGGTTCCTCCTCCGGATGGGTTCTTAAAGCTAAATGTTGATGGAGCGATGGTTAAGGGTTGGGATAAGGGAGGTATTGGTGGTTTGATTCGGGACAGTAAAGGTGTGTTGCTTCAATGGTTTTCAGAAAGTGTTGGGGGTGGTCCTCCTATCTTGGCAGAATTATTGGCGATTAAGAGGGGGTTATGTCTTCTGGAAGATTTAAGTTTTGTTGATAATCGGAGGTTTATTCTTGAATCAGATTCAAGCACTGCCCTAAAGTGGATCAAGAATCCGGGTTTATGCACTCCTATGTTTCAAGTATTGGTGAAGGAGATAGTCTCTCTTATGGTAGGGAAGGATATCATTATCAAGCATATTTTGAGGGCTGCAAATTGGGAAGCTGACAAATTAGCTAAGGATGGGATAGGGTGATGGAATGGTTTCTGCTTGCTTGTATTGAGTAGAAAATTTTATTTCCTATGTTTAGTTGTTGTGTTTAAGTTTTATGTAATTTCTGGTGGTGTTTGCAGATGTTTAGGGTCTGCCTTTGTTGTTCTATGGTTTCATCTAATAAATTCTAGGCACTCTTTTCCTCCTTTCCTTGTCCTTCATGTTACTTTTATAACATGGAGGTTGAAAAAGGGGGTTTTTAATGAGGCCTAATCTTCTATCAAAAAAAATAAGAATAAAAAAGCAGAAAAACAGTGATTCATGTCAGTAATGGCTTACTGTTATGTTATAAAACAGAGACAATGAAAGCCGCTGGCCTTTAATTGCATCACCCTGACCAGTTAGCTGCAGCAGTCCTTGACCATATACACCCAGGTTTGCATTTGAACTAATGACAGAGTTCTCCTGCAAAGACAAGGAATCAACATAAATGCCAAAGACTTTCAATAAATAGATGAAGATTGAGCAACAAGAATAAGCAAGAAAAAAAAAGGAATTCGTGATGAAGTCCAAGCATCATACCCTTAGAACAACTAGATTCCTTACTTCAAGGATAGATGCTGTGACAACAGTATTTCCACCACCATCTATTTGAATCTTGGAGTTCCACATGAGTAGCATTTTGACATAAACCCTAAATGCACCAAATACCTTTATTTTGAAAGGGAATTAGTTAGACTAACAATGAGAAAATGATTGTGCCTCCATAGAGGATAAAAAAAGACTGAAGAAGAAATTAGAAGAAAAAAATAACTCAAGTCTTTCAAACTTCACTAAAGAGGGATAGACAACAGTGGTCCCTAGCAGAACATACTGAAATAAAATGCAGCCAAATACTAGTCAGTTCATCTAAATAGCATTGCAGATATTCTACAAACCTTGAAAAAAATTAAATCCATAAATGCCTACTGTATTACAAGATTTGAACTAGTGATGGTCCCAAAACAGAATAAACCAATGGTTTCAAAGAACCATTTACACAATAAAATCTATCATCAATCCTCTTCCCATACCCATGCTTCTTTAACCTTCTAGTAAGGATAAGTTCTCATAATATGATAGGAGAAAATGTTTGCTCAAATGAAATCATAGCCTAACTGCCTAGCACCAGATACAGCCATTAAAGTTTGCAGTACAGCTCTACTTAAATAAAAACTAACAACTAACATAAAACATTACAGTGCTTCCCTCAAACCATAAAAGAAGAAACAAATGTAACATACCTTTATGATGGAATCACTCATTAAAAGTTCTTCTGCAACAAGCTCAAATTCTGACATTGGGTATGCAGACAACCCAAAGACAATTTCCCCCCCACGATATAGACTAATCTGGCCTCTGACCTTCATAGGTAAAAGAATATTAAGAATCAGAAAGCCATTTGGAATATGACCACTCACCACTAGTCTAGAAGAATAAATGCACAGAAGGGCGAAAATTATTTAGAAGATAAACGCAATTATGATGACAAGCTGTGCAATAAAAGAGAACAGAAAAAATGATAAATCTATGAAAAAGAGCATAGCATATTTGGAAGAATATAGAGATTAAGCAACCTGAACTCTGGTCCAAAGAAGAGGAACCAACGCTTTTGCATTATTCTCCACAAAAACATTTGACCATAGTGGACTAGTAGAGAAATCAAGCAAAGGAGTTTCCGTTTCTGTGGTGACATTATCATTGCCAACTCTTAGACTCAGTAAATCAGCATTGAAATATGTACCAGCTGCTCCAGAGTTTCCAGGACAACCAAGACTAAAACCACCTGCCAAAAATAGAAGCATGTAATTTTGCCTAATCTAACCACGGTTATGTGTCATCTTACAGAAAATTACTGAATTCCTAGATTTTATGGGTGTGATCAGTACAAACCATGCACAGAAACCTTGACATCTTCCTGTATGCTGTAACAATCGAGAGAAATTCTTCCACCACCACCACCACCCCAACCCATCCCACCAGCTGCACTTATGGTACCATATCCCTTCCTATGTAATCAAAACATAATTCCAACGTTGAGTCGAGAGTTACATTTCTAATAATGACTAGAATTTTACAGGATGGTAAGACATTAATGCCCAAGCGTAGTCAAGGGACTATGATGCCATTGTTTTGTCATTCATAAGCAACTTTTCAAGTGCCAAAAAAAATATTACAGTATATTGAATAGTAAAATAAAAACACAGAATAAATTACGCTCAAGTGATTGGCTTTGGAACTTTTAGTATAAGATATTTCCAATTGCTACACAAGCAACACAAGAAATACAATTTTACTCTAAAATAACACTCCCACCCATTTCAATTTATAACAAATAATCCTACAACATATGCTACAATAGAACAAGTTAAAACTGGCCATAAAGGAAATTAGCAATCAGAAACTCAAACAAAATCTTTGGGCTCACACCTTAACTATTATCAACGAAATTATTAAAAGATGCATTCATGACTAAGTCTACTGATACATCTCCATCAAGTTCATCATTATAAAGATAATTCCAATACAAATTATCACAATTGCTAATGAAACAAGCCTTTCTAATATATCAACTCATATTCAAATACCATACGGCCACAGAGACATTGAATTATCAAGAATGAGGAATGCTTTAATCATTACTGAACTATTATTCAACATTACACTTGAAATTGCATAAAATATACTATATTACTAATAAAACATTTCTATATGGTGTTTGCATAAAAGCATGGAGGATAAACATTAGTATGTGCATTGATAATGTAAGAAATAGTGGGTACTGTTAAGTGTTAACAGATTTCTTTTACAAGTGTTGAATCAGCAGAGATTAGCTGAACTGCTGACAGACACCTGAACATGCAGAAACTAGAGATAAGAAAATGGTTTATTCAGGTAGAGTGCACTCACAGCTTAACAGCTCTTATGTAGATGCTTCCACCAGAGCCGCCTCCCCCTTTTATTCCTCCATTTCCACCTTCTGCAGTTACAGATCCATTCAGATTTAGTATGTCCTTTACAATGAGCTTAACTCGTCCTCCACCATTCCCTCCAAACCAATGTCCATCAGATGCGGTGTCATTCTTACTACCACCTTTACTTCCATAACTCCATGGCTCAGACAAAGTGGACCAAGCATAAACATCACCACCCCAAAAGCTTGTCTTATTATTTTTTAGACATGAAGCACCCCGACCACCATGTCCACCACCAGCTCCTTCAGTGCCAACAGGTGTACCACTAGTTTGAGGAGGAGGTGGCCCAGCCAATGATGTTGTGTTAATAGTAGAATTGTACCCAATGGTCAAATTGGCAGAACATATTACTATTGATCCAGCAACAATGGCAACATATTGACCCACATTTACATTTCCAGACATGTTAAAGGTAACCATACAGCCTTCTGTAGGGCAGTTGATTGAAACATGGGGAAGGATCTCCAAGTTTCCGGTACCATAAATGTAAAGGTCTGAACTTAAATACAAGTTCGACTTTAGCAAGCATGTAGTATTAAATGATCCGACACCTTCCAAATCCTCGCAAGATAGAGAAGCATTCACTGGTGATGAAGACGATTCCTTAACGTGAATGGAGGTTCCAATTACAGATTCATCATTCAAAATTAATCTAGGTTTCTGGAAAAGATTCTCCGACTGATTCAAACTAAGACAAAGGACAGATGTGTAAAGATGTCCAAACAGAATGCAAAAGCAAAGGTACCTATGCATTAGCAATGGGTGCATTACCATCCACAGCAAATGACCATTAGATGAAGTTGCATGCATGTGATGCTGCACATGTAACTTAGCTTTCCACTCTACCATAGGCATTTATCACCCTATGCTTATCTGTAGAAGCTCATTTCTCATTTCCTTAAAACCATCATCAGGTGTCCTTCCATCAAAATATTCAGAAATATTCTCTTTCTTAACAATGAAACCCACATAACCAATAATGAGTCAATATATCCTGCATAAAGGCCACAAATGTAGACTAAATTCACAAAAAAATTAATAATGAAATATTACATAGACAACACACATCATAACATACATGGCTAGACTGGACTACTAAATTGGAACTAAAAAGATCTATTGTAACTTAGAACAGAAAGCAGCAGAAAACCCCAATCAAATCCAGCTAAGTAGATGCCTCATATGAGCAATGGAACCTTATTTATAAGAATAAAAAATGATTATATTGGATATGTAATGCAGTGAATGAGTATTTGTAAGTAAGACGTGATGTTCAATTCTTCTCAGATCGACCAACCTATTAGGTTAACCAGTAACAGAAATCTGAATGAATATCTAGGAACAGCTTCCAGTAACAAACAAAAAGGCTCACCGGCACTAATTTTTCCCCAATTAAGTAACTTGCTTTATGTCAAACTAAAGTCAACACTTCTTCTTAGATGATCAACGGCATTCTATTAAAAGTAACCACCAAAAATCCACAAATACACACAAAAATTAATTAAAAACTGAATCGTATTATGTAACGCAGAGCACAAACTCATATTTAATATCATGAAATAAAATATTCCCCAAAAATATTAATCCATTAATTTCTAGTTTATTTTTCAAAGTCAAAATCCTACACGATCTACCGTTTCAGTTACCGATACTTAACAAGAAGTCAGAATCAAACTGAAATTAAAGGAAACATGTACCATTACATAACTGAATTTCCAATTCTAAAAAGAAAAACAGGGAACAAGAGCAAGAGCAAGAGGATACCGACTAACAAGAGAGAAACTGAGAAGGAAAATGAAGCGAACTCGGAGTCAAATCTTGAACGAAGCTTCGCTCTTCATCGCGCTTTCTCCCCCTCTCAAACAAAACTTTTTTCTGTGCTTTTCACTAGTCAGTGATGGTCTCTGCTTTGTCTCTTTGATTTGTTTTTCCTTCCTTTTTATTTATTTAATTATTACATTAAGGCTCCTATGTTAACTTTGTGGATGAAGGAAAAAAATTAAAGTACAATGATGATTTTTTTATTGTAGAATGTCTTAATTATAAAAGTTATAAGATAGTCATTTAATTATAAGATAATATTTTGTTAAGTTTATCGAATAGTAAAAGTTATAAGATAGTCATTTAATTATAAGATAATATTTTGTTGAGTTCATCGAATAGTAAAAGTTATAAAATAGTCATCCGATTATTTATATGTTTCAAAATCATTTTTTTTTGTTAAAGAATCAATGTTCGTCTAAGCTAGAAGTAGACGTTAATATGTTGACCTAAGATATAACAAAATCATACTTTAATGATATCTATTGGTATTGTTGTTGATTTCAAGCACTGGCTCATCGACATAATATAAATGAAGATTTGATTCACACAATATAACTAAAACGATTCTAAGATCATATTTTATCATATCTTAACCAACATGTTAACATATATCTCATATGATCACCAATTATTTAATAGAAAATGATGAATTTGCAACATATGAATAATTGGGTGATCATTTTATAATTTTTAATAGTTTGATTTAACAAAGTAATGCCCTATAATTGAAGAATTGTTTGTAACTTTTAATAGTAAAAAAAACTTAACAAAATAACATCTTATAATTAGGGACCAATTACGTAACATCCTCTATACCGGGTTAGTGATCAAATTGTGAAATTATAAAATTTAGTGACCAAAGTAGATAAATTAAATAGTTAAAAGATTTAATGGGAATGTTTCATGTAGGATGGATAAGTAAAGAAGAGAAATTGAAGGGGTAAATAAGTCTTTTAACAAGGAAATTAAATAAATCTTAGTTTGAGGATATTTATTCCCACGTGGAAGCTAAATGCGAAAGACCAAAAGTTTCCAGATTTCTCTTCTTCTTCTTTCTTCTTCTTCCCCATGAAGACAAAGTTAAAGGTGAGTTTTCTTGTTAATCAAAATCTTGATGAATTTAAGGTTTCTTATTGATCATTAGATGATAACTAAGCTTAAGAAAAGCTTAGGTTATCTTAAAATCAAAAGATGATGGAGTTAGGATGGATTAAAGAAATGAAGTAGAAAAATGAAATCTTGGAATAGAGTTCATAATAAGAATTAGAAGTGTCATCAAGCTAATTAAAGGATATGAAGTGTTAGAATTCGATTTAGAACATGTTGGAAATTGAGTGAAATTCTTAAATTTTATATGGAGAATTGGATTTCTAAGTTTTAAAGGTATCGAATGGATAATAATTAGTTTAAGTAAGTGTATGCAAGTTAGGGATATAAAAAGAGGGGATATATAAAGTGTTGAGAAGATTAAGAAGATATTTTAGTGCTTAAAAGACATTTCTGGGCAATGTGCATCGATGCATATTCAATGTGCACTGATGCATCAAGGATAAATCCCAGAAATTGTTCAAGGTGTATCGATGCACATGAAGTGCATCGATGCACTCTTTTAAAATACAAACATCGAATGCCATCGATTCATCGATACATAAGGAGTGCATCGATGCACAATATTAAATACAAACATCGAATAGGATTTATGCATCGATGCATGGTGTAGTGCATCGATGCATAGCTCCATTAAAAGATTAAAATGACTTTTCTTTTAGCCTAAGAAATGATAGTTTAGAATATACTAATTAGTATACTGATAAGTATCAATGAATTACTATGTAGATAACGAGCCTAAACGTGTTCTGGAACAATCGACAAGTAGGATTGATCGAGGGAAAGACAAAAGAAATCTAGGTGAGTGCATATGCATAGCATGAATATGTATTCTATTCAGTTATAGACTTGTGATAAGTCTAGATTCAATATTTTGATACATGATCGCATTTCATATTATGATACATGACATGAATTCATACCATATGCATTATGTGACATGAATATACAAGAAAAAGTTATATGAGTTATGTGATAAAGGTATGGAAATAATATATCTATGTGATAAAGGTATGAAAATAATATGTCTACGTGATATAAATTATGTGAATTGTGAAAGCCCATGTTATGTAGATGAGAACTATAGGTATAGTTGGCATGCCAAGGGTAGAGGGTCTACGCGGTCCTTCGGGATATATATATATTCTTTGGAACATGTGTGAAGTCTTGTGAGACACATACTTGATCTCTAGTATATGTATATGGTTCTCAAGGAATGATATGTGGTCCTTATGGACATTATTATATGGCACTACGGTGCAATTCTACGCGGCACTCCGGTGCAATTCTACGTGGCACTTCAGTGCAATTATACGAGCTGTGGTGACAGCATAGTGCACAACCTCACAATACTCACATACCTTAGGTTCTCAGTATGGTACCATGGGCTAATGAACTTAATAAAGTGAACTTATGAATGTGAATTTGATAAGTATATGTGTAAGAAACATGGTTATGGTTATTGCATTGTTACATACATCTTATCATTGCAACCCATCTCATTTTGGCAATTCCTTTATATTTTATTGTTATTATTATATTGCCTCACTAAGTTGATGACTTAGCGTGTGAGTGTTTCACACGTAGGATCTGATAAAGTAGACGATCGAGGTTAAGCAGCTGATAACATTACTCCTGTAACTATCAGATCAGAAGCAACTTAATCAGTAGGTCATTTTGTTATGTAAATGGATGTTGGCATGTAACTAAAGGGTTAAGTTGTATATGCTATGAGTATTTTGATAAACTTGTATTAATATATGTATAGTATCTTATTTTAATAAAATAAGTTCGAATGTTTTATCGATTTTTTTTAAGTATTGTTTTGTTTAGTCAATATGACATCCTGGACTCGTATCCAGGCGGATATGAGTTGAGGGTGTTACATTTAATGGTATCAGAGCTATGGTTTAGCCTATTCTAGGCATAAACCAGAGTCTATCAAGTCTTTAAATGGAATACATGCCAACAAATAGTGAGAACTTCTGATCTGGTATAGTATGAGTATGTTATTTTGTTAATAGAACAATATGTTTATTTTATTAGATGTCCGGACATAATAGCTCCAGAAGTGAAGCGGGAGAAGATATGCCTGCTGAAAGCAATAATTCACATGCCCTGGCCAGGCAAGGTGAAGAACATGCATCTCAAGGAATGCCTGTGCAAGATCAGGATACGTTCTTCAGAACGTTAGACTCTATTCTGACGCGTCTTCAACCTCAGCTCCACCAACTCAAAGAATGAATATAGCAAAAGAGTTGAGAGGTTTAGGAGCTCCCGAATTTAAGGGAGAAGCCGAGGAAGGTCCGGTTACGGTGGATCTTTGGTTAAATTATTTGAAAATTATATTGGATGGTCTCCACTGTTCTGAAGTAGAGAAATTAGATGGAGTTGTCTCGTTGTTGAGGGGTCAGGCGAGGATATAGTGGACGAACGTCACCATGAGGATGTCAAATGACTAATTGACTTGGTATTTGTTCTTAGATGAATTTAAAAACAAGTACATTGGAGATCAATTTATTCGGCAGATGAAGCATGAGTGTTTGAATTTGAAACAGATGAACCGCTCTGTATATGAGTATGAATGTGAGTTCAACAAGCTGAGTAGGTTTGCATCCGAGCTTGTGCCTACTGAAAAAGAGGCTTGTGAATGGTTTGTGGAGGGATTACGCCCTAGATTGAAAGAGTTGCTGATAGTATTGAATTTTTCCTCGTTCCAAGAGGTGATCAATCGTGCCAAGGCTCTTGAAAGAGCTCAGAATGAGATATTCGGGGATTTTAGAGTTCAGACGTCAAAGAGAACGGGTGTTTCTTCTAGCTCAGCACCATCAAAAAGAGGAAGAGACTCAGGATTTCGATCACAAGCTAGATCAGAATCAGTTGCATCATCTGCTAGGGGAGCAAGTCAGGCAAGACCCAGACAGATGCAGTCAGTGGGATCTGGTGTTGGGAGATCTACTCCGAGTCAAGCTAGACAATGTCAGTATTGTGGGAATAAATCATTCTGGGGCTTGTCAGATGGCTGTTGGGACTTGTTTTCGATGCGGAGATGCCGAACATTTTATTTGGGATTGTCCATTGATGGTTGGTGAGCCTGCACCATCTGAAAGAGTTGGTTATGCCTCACAAAGAGGACGAGGAAGAGGCAGAGGAAGGAACCAGTCTGAATCCTCTGCTCAACCTGAAGTTCGGTCAACCGCACGGGTGTACAATCTAAAGACAAGTGAAGACCGTGATGACCCTGATATTATAACAGGTACTTTTCAGCTGTATGACAAATTAGTAATGGTACTGATTGATCCAGGCTCTAATTATTCTTACATTAAGAGTAAGTTAGTAAAGGAATTAGGATTCCCTTAGAAGCTACGAGTAATGAGATTATAATAACTAATTCTTTAGGCCATAGTGCTCGAGTGAACAAATTCTGTAAGGGGTGTCTCATAAAGATTCAGGGAATTAAATTCCCTGCTAATCTGATGGAATTACCCTTTGACGAGTTTGAAGTGATTTTGGGAATGGATTGGTTGTTCCGTTACTATAGAGATGTTAATTGCAGATCGAAAAAGGTAACCCTGAAAAGTCCAGGAGGAACAAAGATAAGTGTGAGTAGTGAAAGGTTTAACCTTTAGCAAATGTAATATCAGTAATGTCAGCTAAGAAGCTGTTGCTACAGGGATGTCAAGGATTTCTTGCAAATGTGATAGATTCAAGAGCTAAAGAAAAAAGATTGAAAGAGATTTTAATAGTTCGAGAATTCCCTGATGTTTTCCCGGCTGAGTTGCCAGGATTACCTCCATATAGAGAGGTAGAATTTCAAATTGAAGTAATGCCAGGAACAGCTCCAATTGCAATGACACCTTATCGGATGGCTCCGAAAGAATTGCAAGAGTTAAAGAATCAATTGCAAGAGTTGTTAGAAAAGGGATTTATTCGACCAAGTGTGTCACCTTGGGGAGCTCAGGTGTTATTT